GTATCCAAGTGAATTAGCACATTTATTGAGTATAAGTGTCAGATATTGTGCTAGGGGAGGCATAAAGTGGATTAACAATTTTCTGCCATGAAGTAATTTTAAAATATTTGGGATAGATGAAATATTTTGCTAGAACTGAGACTTTTTTGTTTGTTTGTGTTTTGGTTTTTTGGTTTTTTGAGACAGGGTCTCACTATGTAGTTGAGACCGACCTGGAACTCACTATGTCCCAGGCTGGTGTGGATTAACAATTTTCTGCCATGAAGTAATTTTAAAATATTTGGGATAGATGAAATATTTTGCTAGAACTGAGACTTTTTTGTTTGTTTGTGTTTTGGTTTTTTGGTTTTTTGAGACAGGGTCTCACTATGTAGTTGAGACCGACCTGGAACTCACTATGTAGCCCAGGCTGGTCTCAAACTCACAGCGATCCTCCTGCCTCAGCCTCCTGAGTGCTGGGATAGCAAGTATGCGCCTCCATGCCCGGCTAGAACTGAGACTTTAAGTCAAAATGGAATTATGTTTTTGGAGAGGGAGGGCAAGATTGTCCCTCATTTGGGTAAATGGTTGGAAACTCCTTGAATACTTCCTACTGTCTTGGGTAACCAGATTTGAAAACACATTAACATTCAGTTCTAAGACTTAGTATGAAGAAAATCAGTTGTACCTACCTGTGTTTTAAAATTTGCTTGGTGTTTTCAAAGTAAATAAAATCACCAGTCCTTTTGAAAGAGTTTGAATATCTATGTTGTAGAAGTATTGTTAGAATTTGTAATTACTGCTGCTTTCAAAGTGCCTTGAATTCAGCTATTCTTTACCTGGTGAAATGTTTAATTAAAAATCATTTAGATTGAACTTTGACATTTGTGTAGTATTTCTAGTAGAAGAAGGAGGGTGTTTAGTGTCCTAGGAATTAAGATCCAACAAAAGTAAGTTTTTCTGGTACAGAAAGAATTTAGGAAGAGTCAAGAAATAGCAAATTTTCCTTTTTTTCATTATCTTTCAGTGATCCTTCAATTTATTTATTTTTTTAATTCTAAGAGGAGAGCAGGCTTTCAGACTAAATGTTGAGATTGTATTCTTTTATTGGGAACCCTCAAGGTGAGATGAGAGAGAAAAATTGGGGAGGTGAGGAAAAGGAAAGGGGATTAAATATTAGAAGTACAAAGGAGTCAGATATTATGTTAAAAAACTGTAAAATGAAAAGATTTAATTTTAGTTGAATTTTAAGCACCCCTTCTCCAATACAAATAATTAAGAAGAATGGAGGCCAGTAATCAAATCTGAAAGCAAGTGAAGTGAAGTTTTAGGATTGGCAGACTTGCCATGGGTAGCAAACTTCTCTTATATGATATGATTTTTTTTTTTGCAACATTTGAATGGTTCAGGGATGTGGCATCTTTGGAATTGCTGGCATGTTGGACTATACATAATTTATAGCAGATAGAGGCCTGGACTAGGAATCAGAAGGTATTTATTTTAGTTTTTACTTTCCTGGGTGGTCTTCCATGCCTGTCTTTTACCTGCATGATATGCTAATTTTTTGTTGTAAAATGAGGATGTCACATTAGTGCACCAAAAGTTTATTGTGGAAAGCAAATACCTAACATGTAGAGTTATTGAAAGGAATAAGATAATCAAAGGATGTGGAAAAACTGTAAGTGCTATTGGAGTATTAGACATTATCACTATAGTTTTAGTGACCTATTTTCCAAACCTAAATTGGACCACATGATATGAGAGATTTTTGTGTCACTTCCAGGGGCAAAAGGCAGTCTGTAAAATGTAATTTGGGTGCCAAAATATTGAAATTTCTGGCACATTTTGATGGTTTATGAGAGCGATGATAAATATTTGAATACAGTGATAAAATACTGAATACGATGATAAATATTTGAATAATGACTGCTCAGTATAATTTATGATGTGTGATCACTATAATTATGAAATTTTTTCACAAACAGTATTTTATTTTTCATATAAGTAGAAGTTATTTGATTCTACAGAATCCTAAAGCTGGGAGAGACTTTTAAGAGCATTTCAGTTTCACTTGTCTGTCCTAAGTCTATAGGAGAAATGAAAGGCAAAAATTTTGGGGGGAAAACAGATTTCAATTTCCCTTGGTATAGGAGCCTGTCTTATTGTGAAGATCCTTACCTTAAAAATCTCTCTCCATTTTAACTCTTATCACTTGTACTCGTCTTTTAAGAAAGACAAAGAAACAACTAAGGAAAGGTGTACTTTTTTTAAAATAGAAAATTCTTTCTTTCTTAAAGGATACAAAAATGTACTGAAAAAATAATTGTTGGAATTCTCTACCAGAAAGACTTGACTTATAGGCCATAAACACTAAATTCACTTCTGGAATATGTTATATTCTTGGATGATAAATGCAAAAATCTGTTTCATTTCCTTTGGTTTAGCACCATAATAAGCCCATATGATATTTATCATCAAATTCTATCTTAAATGTTAAAAATTAGTTACTCCTTGGGGTTCTTTGGTTTCTTGATACATATTGTATACAACAGAAGTAATAGTCTGTTTTTTCTAACTATATTATAAAAAACTTTGGTATTCATTTTCTTCCATGAACCTTTTGTGAAAAGTTGGAGACTTATGGCCTGAGCCTTTATAAGCTCTTTGCTTTATGTTTTTTTTCAATCACTAATTGCATTTAATGTAAAAAATAAGTAAAGTGTTTATTTTTATTTTCAGTGACAGGGAAGAGAATGTTTTAGAGTATATTTTCCCTGACATTTATTATAACTCAAAAATCATGGAATAGATCAAGTTCATATTGATTGTTCCATGAAAGCTCTGAGTTTTCAGCAGAAACCATAAACTAAACTGATGCAGTTAAGATGCCCAAATAATATGAATTTGGTGTTAATAATCCAGTTGAGGTTTTAGCTTTTATCCAAATGTCTGAAACTTCTGGATTCCATCCCTAGGGTTCGTTCTGAAAGGCTGAATGGATTTGCAGCTGGACTAAAACAAATAAATCTATATCATTGGCTGGGTGGTTGATGCATGCATGAATTATGCATCTGTAGCCTTTGTGTGACTTCAGAGGTTAGACGGAACTGGAGAAAGTAGTTCCTGATACAAACGGTGTACAAAACTGGATGTGGTAGCCAGGAGTTACTATGCAAAAGATTTTCTGTTTTGTTAACACAATTCTCTTAGAGATTGGGGCAAACAGCGCATAGACCAATAAGATGGCTTGAACTTGGCTTTTAATGTTATTGAAAATTGTTTTTCTTTGATGCAAAGTGTAAGCTTCATCCTTGGAGATTTCTGCTGCCAGACCACTGATGGAGGACCTCGATTTGTGTGCATAGGGACTGTCATTCTCCAGTCAGGCACTCAGCTCAGTGAAAGAAATTAGGTATTGGGGGAGAGTGATGCCTCATTAAAGAGATCCCTTTTGATTGAGTAGAGCAGCATTTAGCTTAGTCCTCTTCAGTGTTATTCCTGAAGTTGCTGAGCTTATTATTCATATCGATCATATCATCTTTGTGCATTCATGAAAAGAATTTCTATTTAATGTGGACATTATCAGCCATCACAGAGAATAACTGCCTCACTGAAGCTTGATATAGCTGACTGTTGGCCCTGTGAATGGTAAGACTGAATCAGACTTGCTAGATTTTTTTCTTAATTGCTGGTGCACTATACCATCACAGATTGACCCAGTTGGAGCTCAGAGCTTAAGTGGGTACTAAAGTAAAAAAATGTAGGATCCTGAGGGATGTTTGAAATGCCAGGTTTGTTTTTGTGGAGTCACTAGTGCAATATCTTTTACTTTTTATGCAACTCCTGCTGAAATCTAAAGCCATAAAATTCAAGAAAACATGGAACCCATACATTCAGGCTATGCATACTCTTGCTTAACTTTGTTGCTGTATTTCAGGTATATAAATTATATATCCCAGTGCAACTCAGAAATTACAGCTTCTAAGGAGAATAATAAGAGATTCTTTGAACTACAGAGGTTAGGATATGTAGGTTTCCTAGCTCAGTCTAGGAGTCTTAGGATTCCCTGCCAGATACATATTTAAAGCATGTACAAGCACATGGTCATTAACACACATAGTCTTACCTCTTGTTTTCAAATCTAGCAACTGATAAGTTAATAAAATAGTCATTTGATATAAGGTATTAAATCTGTCCAACTATACCCATTATTTTCAAACTTTGATATGTAAGATAATAATAATAATACCTTACATTTTAAAATTGATTTATAGTTCATAAAATAATTCACATATTATCCAAAATCTCTGCTGTCTAGAAACCTTAACATTATTTGGTATTTTTATGTCACTTATAAGAAGACAATCATAATGACCTTTTAATTCACAGAGAAATAATTTGTCACTAATAAAATGTATAAAGCAAATTGTGCATGGACTTAAAAAAATACTCTTGCAAAGGGGAAAATGAAAAAGGGAAACCCTTGTAATCTATTCAGCTTTCTGTATGGTAAGTAGTTGAATTTGAGCAATAATTTCTTTGTTGAGATTTTGCTTTATTTGAGATAAATGTTAAGAAACAATACCTAAGTCAGAAAGCAATTCTAATTTAAATTATTCTGAACCACAAAAAGGGTTGATTGTTTTCATTTTCAAAATCTTTTGTTAGCTACTTTTTTTGCTTTACCTCTCAATATTTTTGTATTAATATGGGATGTATAGACTTTGCAGAAGAATATGCTAAAATAGGACTTCCTATTTGTAAGTAAAACTGACAAATACCTTTTTTTTGGTATTATCTTTAAATTGCAAATGTCTGAAGGCCTGTCATAATTGGATGCATCATTCTGTGATTTAAATGCATTACAATTTTTGAACGTGACTTGAAAACTGAACGCTACTCTAGGGGAAGTGGGGCAGGACTGGCATCAAATGTGGCTGGGCAAACAGAGTTCAATTTATGCTTTCTTTTAAAATAGTTATTGATTATAGAAATAAGTAGGTCCTGTGGTTCTCTTTCAGAACTTTGCAGAAAACACCATGAATGAACTCCTTGGCTGGTATGGCTATGATAAGGTTGAATTAAAAGATGGTGAAGATATTGAATTCAGGAGCTACCCTACAGATGGGGAGAGCCGGCAGCACATTTCTGTTCTCAAAGGTAATGACATTTAATGTCCCTTTGTTCATGCAAAGAAGGATTAACTATCTCAACCTGCCAGAATTGAGCTGCTTTGGGACTCATTTTTGTTGATTTTTGGCCTGTGGTTGATTTAAATGTACATCCCTAGTAGCACTTGCCTATAAAGCAGAAGTCTACAGAATATAAGAGCATAGAATAAAGCAAAAATAGACATATCTTAATCTCTTCCCAGGCAAGGACTCAGGAATTTAAATGCCAGAGTCCTGCCCATAAATTCATGGAAAGAGATACTGTTTCCTAACTTTTAGTTTCCTTATCCCTTTGATACATCATCATTTATCAGGGATTGGGACTTTCTGTTAAATGCAGTGTTAGGTTTACATTTTCAGACTGCAAGAGAGATTCACTGTTAGTTGGGAATACTTCCTTTTTGATGAGTGGAAATTCTGAAAGAAAGCCTTATGTTTGAAATTTTCACTTTTCCCCTACCCTACACTTTTGAATAGGGTTAGAAAAGCAGTAAGAGAGTGGTAGCTGGTTACATCCTGTACTATTGTGTAAGAATTTTCATCAAAGCCCAACTAAAGAGTAGAAATTACAGAGGATTTGCTGAGCAGAATTTACACTAATTCTACCAGTGGGTAGCAGAGCCGGATATCTAAGGGAGAAGCCTGGGTGAATACTGAATTTATTAACCTAAATTTGGATCAATAGTTTTTTTTTTTTTCTTTTTGGTACCGGGAATTGAACTCGGGTCCTTGCGCTTGCAAGGCAGGCCACTGAACCGCTGAGCTAAATCCCCAGCCCTGGAGCAATACTTTTTTGTAAAAGAGGAGGAACATGTGAAGGAGCAGCTCATTTATGGAATTTTAATAATTTAAAATTAAACTTTTAATAAAAATTGGTAAAACGAATTGTGCATCATCATTGGCACTTTGATCAGTATTTGTGTTGCATTCAAAATCTATTGGTATAAACTACTACTTGTTCAAGCATTTTACTTTTGGTTTTTAAGAATGTGCTTTTTCTTATGCCAAGCAGGGAAATGTAAATGAGCTGTCCTACAGGCATGTGGAATTGAATGTATGTGACAAATTTTACGTTAAGCTTGCTATGAAATCATACACATCATGTTAGAAAGGTAGTGTCATCAATTTCACTGTAAATGAAAAATGCAAGTTGTGAATTTATATTCTATAAACTAATAGCTCATATAATACTTGGCCTAGGTAATAATCTTTGCCTCTGGGGAACATGGAAAAGAGAAAGTGCCAGGTTATGCTATTAGAGAGGAAAAAGTTGCTTTCTGTGGTTGAGGCTTTTTAAAAAAATGGTTTGCATACAGAAAATGCACAAAATTTATGTTTTCTTTATTTTCAATTTTTAATGAAATATACCAATACCTAGTGCAGCAGACAGCACTTTTCTTCTGAATCATCTGCTTCTTTCTTATTGATTCATGTGAGTATGTTATAGTCTATGTATATAGGATAGTGAGACATAAAATACTGGGTGAAGGCTTTCCGCTTGGTAACCAGAGAGCAAAGGTCTGCCATACATCACTTTGTACATGGAAAAAGGTTAATTTCCTGTGGGAATTTAGAGTGCTAAAATTCACCACCAGGATTCAACTGGGATATTAGCTATCATAGTGGAGCAAATATAAAGGAATTGATTGGAAATTTATGGTAGCAAGACCAAAAAGCTCCAGGTTAGACTGTGGTATTCTGGTAAATTGTTCAAGGATTTGTAAGAAAAATTTTGTTCTGTTACATTATTCTTTTATGTGGGAAAGTTTAAAGTCTACTAAATAAGTTCTTTTGTCATGTTGACTATGCTTTCCTTCTTTTACAGAAAATTCTTTGCCAAAACCAAAATTACCTGAGGACAGTGTTATTTCACCATACAATATAAGCACAGGGTATTCAGGGCTTGCCACTGGAAATGGACTCAGTGACTCACCTGCAGGGTCAAAGGATCATGGCAATGTGCCCATTATTGTACCTTTAATTCCGCCACCTTTCATAAAGCCACCAGCAGGTAAGCATTACTGAGGTTTCCAGTGATAAAGATTCATGAACAGTTGCTTTAATTATCTTATGAATAGTTATTAAATGCTTAAAAAGTAGATAAAGATTGTTTTAGGAACTTTAGAACTAACGTAGGAAATGTTAGTACATGTATTATTTAAAGTATTATTGCTATAGTAGGAAAATTTCCTTATCTACTAGTCTTAGTCTATAAACTTTTAATTGACTGTAAACTTTTTCTCCCATTAGCTTCTCTGAAGTCACCAATTAATAGAAGGAAGTATTAAATAGTCTTTTAAAAGTAAGAAATATACATTGACTGACTAGTAAAAAAAAAAAAAAAGTAACTGGTTGAACTGGGTGGTGCATGAGCGGGACCAAGTCTCTGGAGGTTTCTGAACAAAGGAGAGTTTTATGAAAAGACAGGTGGTAGACATGTTCCTCAATATGCCTTCCTCCAAATCCTTCAAGAAACAAATTAGATTATGCATCGTCTCCACAGAGTTCTTTCTAATTCCTGGAAAGCTGTCTTTGAAAGCTTAAAATATTAGAGATCTGAATTCACATGGATGAAAATGCAATCAGTTCTTTTATATTTTCAGAAAATTACATGGCAGTGTTTTAGATCTAGATGGTAATGGGCTGAGTAGTATGAAGTTGTAAGCTCAGCTACTGATATATTTCACATAAAGCAGGAAGTTAAATAATATTTTATCTGGCTTGCTGTAAAATGTTAGAATTATGTTAGGATGCTTACTTGTGACACTGGCTATTTTTCTCTGTATAGACTCTAACAATGATAATGCCAAATTACAGTAACGGTACTTATTATAATATAATAAAGTTAATGCTTGTGTTTTTATTAGAGAAGATAGGTATTTGGTTATGTTTCCATAAACTGTGAAGAAATTGTAGATGAAGTTCCTGGGTTTATCTTATAGATGTATTTTACTGTATCCTGTGTTGCTTACATTTATCTTCATGTTTATCTTCAGGTTGGTGGTTGGTCTTCTACATTTTAGCAGTAAAATGAGATCCTTAGATAGGTCATCAAAATCTACTTATCTTTTGAGCCAGGGATTTAGCTCAGTGGTTCTGCTGCCTGCTTCACAAGCGCAAGATCCTGAGTTTGATCCCAGTACCAAAAACAAAAACAAAAACAAAACAAAACAAAAATCCACTTACCTGTTAAAGTTACTTGTAATTATGTTTGTCTACTAATTACTAATGTAATTGTTGTATTATATAAAGTTTGCCTTATTAATGTCCCTATTTTCCTTTAATGATTGCTTTGTGAGACAGTGGGGTGCAGATTTATATCCCAAGGACCAAAGACATATTTTATTTAGATAGCCAGTTGAGGGGGAAAGATGACTTACTTTGTAAATATTGTGTTCATGTTTGAATGTGTGTTCTGTGGCTTAAGTGAAGAGTGATGATGAGGGTGTCAGTGAAGCATATGACTAAGTGACAAGAAAATGGGTTTCAGATTTGGAAAGATTCAGGTCTAGGTTTTCACTTAGCAGCTCTGTGAAGATGGACAAGCCAAATCTGCTTTCCTCTTACTCCCGATCTGTAAAATGGCGGTCACAGGGCTCCTTATGGAGTCCTTGTGGAAGTGAGATGAGATGAGAAAATGTATGTAAAACACCTAGCATAGTGCCTGGCACACAAAAGCCATTTAGCAAACACCATACCTTTTCTTTTTTTAAAAAATCTTTATTCTGAAGCCCTAGAGTTATCATGCATAGCTTGTGCATAAAAAGGTATGCATCTGAAAGCAAAATTGTCTCTAAGATTTATTTGAGCAAAGCAAACAGCTTTAGAAATTAACATAGTTGAGGCTAACATGAATTTACCATGCCAAAAAAACCTGCCCTGGAGTTTCCTGCTGAGCCAGCCACGTGGAAATCAAGCACACAGCTCCTATTTAACTCTAATTCCACATCAGATCAGGAAATAAATATGCAAAGGGACAGAGGCCAAAAATTGAGTCTTGGAAGTCTTAGTCATAGGAACACTGAGGAATTAGAAGCCAGAGTAACTGAACACCAGTGGTTTAATGCTGTCTTCCATGTAACTCCAAGGCACTCATCTGTGGAAAACAAAAAGGAAGGATGGATGTGTTTAATTTTCTGTGTCTGCTTTAACCTTGATTCTGTCCATCTTGAGGGTTCTAGATGACAACACAAGATACAGGAAGATCCTCTGCTTTCCAGGAGCTTACTCTGTCTTGAAGCAGAAACTTACCAAAGAGATGGATTTTGATTTATGCAACTTAGGGCAATGGTCAGCAAACCCTTTCTGTGAAGGATCCAATAGTACTTTGGGCTTGCAGGCTATCCAGCCTCTATCATAAGTACGGAACTCTGCTACTGGAGCAGGAAAGCAGTCATAGATAATATATAAACCAATAGTTGTGGCTGTGTTCCAGTATAATTTTATTGACAAAAAACGGCATTGGGCAGAGTTTGGCCTTGGGATCCTAGTTTGCTGATGCTTGTACTAGGGTAAAATTAACCAAGTCTCTTAACAAGAAGATGAATTGAGTTTCAGGCAGGCCTTGGACTTGGCCAGGTGTTCTGTGTAATATTGTAAAGAGGGAACAACAGCAACAGGAAGATAGTGGATTTTTTTTTTACTGGTTTTCAGGATATGTCATGATCTCTAGTACACTAATATTTGTTGAATAAATGACCAATATTCAAATTTTGTTGCACGAACGTGCAATAAGTGGCTCACTGATAAAATGCTAATATTTTGTCTGGATTAGTCACAGCCTATTTGACCTTGTCCACAGTTTCCTTGATAGTCAAGTGAGGATTCCATTGCTATTAATTATCTGGATAAGTCAAGTCCACACATGATCCAAAAGCTTCCATTTAGTTACCTATTTCAGCCCTCCCTTTGCTAAAACTTGTACAGTACCAGAACTTTTATTCAAGGTAATAAAATTGAGGTACACTCTCTGTCAATATTCTAGTCAGATGTAGGCTAGTGTGCATTCCTGAGGGGAACTAATAAGGGTCCAACGGCCAAAAGCTAAGGTACCTCACCTAATGCCCCTGAATAGTTTACAGGTGCTCACCTTTCAGGATAGGGAAGACGAGCATGTGTTAGAGTTCAAATTATTCTTATTGTACTATAGGCTGATTTTTTTTTTTTTTT